TCTTTCTCCTTTTTTTCTATTTTTCTCTTCTATTTTGACTACATGTATTTTTTCATTTCCCCCCCCTCTCTCTAACTTTTTCTATATATCCACTTAATTATTAAACTCTCTTTCTCTCTCTCCCTCTTTTTCTTTCCCTCTCCCTTTCTTTCTCTCTCTTCTTTTCACTCCCTACTTACGTGCATTTATTTGTGACAATAGTTCAGCCGGCTGCGTTAAGACATATATGTACTGATAGAGTCGAATTAATGCGTTCAGTTTTGCATAACACTGAGCGGTAAGCTGCAGCAGTCTGTCCATATCAAGTTCCTTTTTTTTTCTTTTTACTATTTTTATGACATGATTTTCATTTGTTAATCGTTTAGATATATCTGAAAAACTTTATTTGACAGTAAAAGTTGCTTTAAAAATCACCGATTTTTATTTATAATTGAAGTAAAAAATTTAATTTAAAAAGTTGAAGTTTTTTTTAGTTCGTTTGCTTCTTTAATTCTTTCAGATGAAGATTGTTCTGTGAGGGTTTGACTGTCTGTTTCGCGGAGGTTGATTATATCTTTTCATTTCATCTGTTCCGTGTTGGTATTCACTCATCTGTTCGTTCGTTCGTTCATTCGTTCGTTCATTCCTTCATTCGTTCCTTCATTCTTGTCATTCACTAATCTATCATCTAATTTATCTAATGTTGAAATCTTTTCAATGTTGTAAAATGTAAAATTCATATTTGCAATATTTTTTCGTATTTCCAGTACAGCCATAAACTAGATAACCATCCAGTGCATGTGCAGAGGTCCCTAGCAAACCGTAATCATTGATTGAATGGTATTCATTGATTGGTTGATGGTCCGTCCTTAGTTATCTTGCTCCAGTCAGATATCATATTTCATGGTTAGTAAGTAGTTAGAACGTTTGAATCCTTAAGTTGAGATGTATTGGTTATCACTTTCTATCACTTTGTATCGTCTTCGTCGTCATCATCATCAGCTGCTGCTGCAAAAACGCATCATAACCATCATCGTCTCAATCAACTTTTCATATATTCAAATGTTACTTTATCACGAGATTTCATTGTTACTCTATGATATCATCGTCATCATCATCATCATAATCATCATCATAATCATCATCATCATCATCATCATCATCGTCATCATCATCGTCGTCGTCATCATAATCACTAGCAACAATAACATCTTTCCGTCACCACACATCACGTTCTTATCATCTTAATAGACATTATCGTCGTTATCATCGTCATAACCTTTTTGAAGCTTTTTTGGTACCATGATGTTTGATATTTTATACACAAACACACACACCACACACACACCACACAAACATACACACACAAACACACACATAAACACACCACACACACACACACACAAACATAAACACATAAAATGTGTTGTCGGTATCATTCTACAATTATGATATAATGTTTGGATTTAGCACAAATTATGATCATTTTAAGTTTGATTTATATTAAATTTAAAAATAGCAAATGAAAAGAAACTCGCTAATAAAAATGATTTCTTAAAAAAATTGTTTATTCAAAATGATAAACATATAGAGGAATACAAATGTCCAAACAGACAAACAAACAAACAAACAAACAAACAAACAAACAAACAAACAAACAAACAAACAAACAAACAAACAAACAAACAAACAAACAAACAAACAAACAAACAAACAAACAAACAAACAAACAAACAAACAAACAAACAAACAAACAAACAAACAAACAAACAAACAAACAAACAAACAAACAAACAAACAAACAAACAAACAAACAAACAAACAAACAAACAAACAAACAGACAGACAAACAGATAAACAAATAAACAAATAAACAAACAAACAGACAGACAGACAAACAAACAAACAAACAAACAAAATGAAAGCAAATTTCATCAGCGTCACGACTCATTGCAATGCAGTGAAATTTTAAACACGACATTTAACAGGATGAGGGATGTAACATCTCTTTGTGTGCGTTTCGGTATATCATTGAGTGGGTGTGTGTTTGTATGATTACATCCGTAATTGCGCGTGCATTTTTGTGTCTATGTATGCATGTGAGGTTGGTTGCATGTGCTGGTATGTATGATTGTGTTTGGGTCTAGGAGCACGTGTGTATAAATGTTTGTGTGTGAGTTTGTGTGTGTGCTTGTGTGTGTTTGTGTGTTTGTATATCTGGGCGGCTATATTTCTATTTCTAACTCTACACGCTTGTACACGCTTCGCACGAAGTTTAAATTTATTTGATCCTATTGGACAAGAAGTATTGGAGTAACAATTCTGTAGAGTTTGGCGAAGGAGTTTCAACATTTGAATGATGATGGAGATATCTTATGTATGTGGTGTTTTTCCTAAATTAAATTCTGGCAGTATATATATATATTCTGGCAGTATAACTACAAATCTATTTTTACCTATCCTAAAGTTAATTAAATTAATAAACCACAAAAATGGGAACATTTTAAACAGTTAAAATTGTTATTATATATTAGGAAAATATCGATAAAAATAACCTCTTATGTTTGTTAGATAATCAAAAAATGCATTTTGGTGTGTAAATAGAATGAAAAATAGTTGGTTATAAACAAGTTTTTTGCAAAACCACACACACACACACACACACACACACACACACACACACACACACACACATACATATATGAATTTGTATAGCAATTTTTTTGTGTGTTTATTTATAAGTACATAAACAAGAGTAGACAGATTGACATACCTAGAGTAGACTCATACACAAGCACGCACACACACACGCACGCACACAC